CTGGGGGATCCTGGGATCCGTGTCCTGGGGATCTGGGATCTGCACTCCAGGATCCGTGTCCTGTGGGGTTCTGGGATCAGGATCCAGGATCCGTGTCCTGGGCTGATCTGGGATCGGGATCCAGGATCCATGTCCTGGGGATCTGGGATCGGGATCCGGGATCCTGGATCCGTGTCCTGGGGTGATCTGGGACCGGCACCGGAACACCCCCCAGGCTGTGACGGGAACATTCCCTGGTCTGGGGATGATGAAGGGTCCCAATTAACGCTGGAGCTGGGAACGTGTCCGGTCTCCGTCCCCCGGGAACACCGGGATCGGCCTTTGGGATCTGGGGGCTCCATCCCTGCTCCCGCTGGGGCTGGGAATCTCCTGGGGAAATGTCCCGGTGCTGCCATCCCTGTTCCATTGGGATTCCTGTTCCGTGGGAATTCCCGTTCCATTGGGATTCCTGTTCTGTGGGAATTCCTGTTCCGTGGGAATTCCTGTTCTGTGGGAATTCCTGTTCCATTGGGAATTCTTATTCCATTGGGAATTCCTGTTCCGTGGGAATTCCTGTTCTGTGGGAATTCTTATTCCATTGGGAATTCCTGTTCCGTGGGAATTCCCGTTCCATTGAGATTCCTGTTCCGTTGGATTCCTGTTCTGTGGGAATTCCTGCTCCATTGGGAATTCCTGTTCCATGGTCTTGTTCCATGGGAATTCCTGCTCCATGGGAATTCCTGTTCCCTTGGGATTCCTGTTCCATTGGGATTCCTGTTCTGTGGGAATTCCTGTTCCGTGGGAATTCCTGCTCCGTGAGAATTCCTGTTCCATAGGGAATTCCTGTTCTGTGGGACTGCTCCGTGAGAATTCCTGTTCCATAGGGAATTCCTGTTCTGTGGGAATTCCTGTTCCATTGGGAGTTCTTCTTCCCTTGGGATTCCTGCTCATGGGAATTCCTGTTCTGTGGGAATTCCTGTTCCATTGGGATTCCTGCTCCATTGGGATTCCTGCTCCATTGGGATTCCTGCTCCATGGGAATTCCTGTTCCATTGGGAATTCCTGCTCCATTGGGAATTCTTGTTCCATGCTCTTGTTCCATGGAAATTCCTGCTCCATGGAAATTCCTGTTCCATGGGAATTCCTGTTCCATTGGGATCCCTGCTCCGTGGAATTCCTGCTCCACCCTGCTCTGTTCCAGACAGGATTGCTCCCCAAGACCATCCCATCCCATCCCATCCCATCCCATCCCATCCCGCAATCCCGGCAGGACCTTCTGGCTTTTATTTTCCCGGTTTTCTGTTGGATTTCTCCCCGGTGCCATTCCCAACCCTCCTCTGCCAAGCCAGGAATAGGATAAATATCCGCCTTTTATCAACGCCTGCCTTTTTTATGGATATCAAATGCAAATGAGCACCAGAAAGAGATGCCAAGTCCCTTAAAATGTGACTCCAGGGATGCTCCCGCGGGAGCTCATCCCGGCTTTCCAGCTAAAATAGATCCGTCAGAGCACTATAAATATGTGCAAATACCGGCGCCGCTCTAATCCCCAATTCCTCTCCCGGCAAAACTCGGGAGCCTGACGCCTTCCCGGAGCGGGGGCTGGGGGCGGGAGAATTCCCGAGGGATGAGGGGGCACCTCCGGGGCTCTTGGAGCGGCCGAGCGGCTCCGAAGGGCCCAAAACCTTCCCGGAATCGGGATGGGAATCCGGAGTTTTTCCGCGTCGGCGTTCCCAACGTGGGGCTGTCCCGGAGCAGATCCTCGGCATTCCAGTGCCATTCCCACAGTTCCCGGCTGTCCCCTCCCTCCCCGGCTCCCAAAATCCGCCAATCCCGCGGGAGACGGATCCCGGTGCCGGCTCTGGCACAGCCGGGGGCACAAAGCCGCCCAAATCCCTGGAATCGAGGCTGGAATGGTCCTGATCCATCTGTCCCCACCGAGGGCCCGGGAGGAATTCCTCCTGGAATCCTGGTGCAGGATCCTCCAGGGATCCTCTGGGATACCCAGGAACGCCTTGGGATGCTCCAGGATATCCCAGGGATGCTCTGGGATGCTCCAGGATATCCCAGGGATGCTCTGGGATGCTGTGGAATGTTCTGGGATGCTCCAGGATATCCCAGGGATGCTCTGGGATGCTCCAGCATATCCCAGGGATGTTCTGGGATGCTCCAGGATATCCCAGGGATGCTCTGGGATGCTCCAGGATATCCCAGGGATGCTCTGGGATACCCAGGAGCGCCTTGGAATGCTCTGGAATACCCAGGAACGCTCTGGAATGTCCGTGGGACGCTCAGGGATACCTCGGGACGCTCAGGATGCCGCGGGACACTCTGGGATTGTTGCCGGGTCCCTGCAGGGCCGGTTCCGGGCTGGGAGCGGCCCCACGGCCGCCGGATTTCTCCAGGATTGTGCTGGAATTGTCTGGGAAGCCCGGGGAGCGCGGTGGCTGCGGCGCTCGCAGCCGCATCCCTCATTAATCCGTCACGGCTTCCCGGGAAGCGCGGCTCCGCCGCCGGCTCGGGATTAGCTGCTATTTATAAAGCGCTGGAGAACTTTTCCGGGTGCCAGGCGTCCCCTCCCCTCTCCCGCCAGCATTCCCGGCCTTCGCAGCTTCCCCTTTTCCAGAACCTTCCCTCGGCTGGGTCTGGGAGGCGCCAGAGGCCGGAGAGGATCTGGAGCGCGGTCCCGGCCCGGGGAGCCGGGGCTGGCGGAGTTGAAGGATTCCGGTGCTTGCTCAGCTCTTCCCTCGTTATTTTGAGGGGAAAAATTCCGTTGTGGCCCCTGAGCCCTCCTGGGGGAGGAAGGGCAGCTCCAGCCCCTCATTCCCATTCCCGGGGCGGCGCTGGGGAAGTTTGGGATCACAGGCAGGGTCGGGATCAGAGCCCAGCCGGGGCTGGAAGGAGGATCCCGGGCTGATCCCAGGTTCTGGGGGGACCTGATGGTTCCAGCTCATTAACAAAGATCCCGGAATTTCCTGATCCCCATCCCACATCCTGCTGTGTTTCCCAGAAATTCCCTTTCCCAGAAATCCCCTTTTCCAGAAATTCCCTTTACCAGAAATTCCCTTTACCAGAAATTCCCTTTTCCAGAAATTCCCTTCCCCAGAAATCCCCTTTTCCAGAAATCTCCCAGAAATTCCCTTTTCCGGAAATTCCCTTTCCCAGAAATTCCCTTTTCCAGAGTCCCAGAGATGAGGATGAGGATGAGGATGAGGATGAGGATGAGGATGAGGATGAGGATGATGAGGATGAGAAAAATGAGGATGAGGATGAGGATGAAGATAGGAAGAAGATGAGGATGAGGATGAAGAAGATGGGGATGAGGATGGGAATGGGATGAGGATGAGGATGAGGAAGAAGATGAGGAGGATGAGGATGAGGATGAAGATGAGGAAGAAGATGAGGATGACAAGGAAGATGATGAGGATGAGGATGAGGATGAAGAGGATGGGGATGAGGATGGGGATGGGGATGGGAATGGGATGAGGATGGGGATGAAGATGTGGATGAGGAAGATGAGGATGAGGATGAGGATGAGGATGAAGAGGATGGGGATGGGAATGGGAATGGGATGAGGATGAGGATGAGGAAGAAGATGAGGATGAGGATGAGGATGAGGATGAGGATGAGGATGAGGATGAGGATGAGGATGAGGAAGGAGCCGGTGGCACTGGGACATTGTCCCTTGGGATGGGCTCTGGGCGCTCCCGGCTGCTCCGGGCAGGATCTGTGTCCCTGTGTCCCTGGTGTTGGTGACACGGACGTGGCCCTGGGGATGTGGCACCTCCTCACTCGGGGATCCGGCTGGGAGCTGCAGTTCCTGGCTCTTCATTCATTATGCAAATTATGTAAAAGATCATTAATGATGCAGGACCTCGCTCCGAGCCGGGACAGGGGGATCCTGGGGACAGCGGGAGAAGGGACAGGGGAGCGGCTGTGACAGAGGGGTCGGGATGGGGGCTGGATGTGTCCCCGTGTCCCATCCCTGTGTCCAATCCCTGTGTCCCATTCCCAGGATCCATTCCAGGATCCATTCCCAGGATCCATTCCCAGGTTCCATACCAGGATCCATTCCAGGATCCATTCCCAGGTTCCATTCCCAGGTTCCATTCCCAGGTTCCATACCAGGATCCATTCCAGGATCCATTCCCAGGATCCATTCCCAGGTTCCATTCCCAGGTTCCATTCCCAGGTTCCATTCCCGGGATCTGTTCCCAGGATCCATTCCCGGGATCCATTCCCAGGATCCATTCCCAGGATCCATTCAGGATCCATTCAGGATCCATTCCAGGATCCATTCCCAGGTCCCATTCCCGGGATCCATTCCCGGGTTCCATTCCCAGGATCCATTCCCAGGATCCATTCCCAGGATCCATTCCCAGGATCCATTCCCAGGATCCATTCCCAGGATCCATTCCCAGGATCCATTCCCGGGATCCATTCCCGGGATCCATTCCCAGGTTCCATTCCCGGGTTCCATTCCCAGGTTCCATTCCCAGGATCCATTCCCAG